CTCTGCGGGATCCTCTCACCCCGCGAGGCGGGAGGGCGGCGGGCGGACGGCGGCGACCTGAAGACTAAATCTAAACAAGCGCGGCTGGCGCAGAGCGGGAGCGGGAGCGGGCCTCGAAGCAATGGCCCCGGCTCACACTCTCTTCACGTTTCTCCCACTTTTGCTCCTGTCTCGAGTCGGAGACAATTCACCCGACCTCCACCTTCCTCCTCTGCAGCCCAAGTGGCTTTTCGCGGTAATAGGTGCTTCCAAGGGACAGTCGCTGCCCCGCCCCCCTATCCTAGTTGGCGCCAAACGGAATTCACCAATCAGGAAGCAACTTCTCCGCCGCCCCCCCCCTCTCGAAAGGCAGGCATACTGGACCAATGAGAAAGAAGAAGGAAGCAGCTCCCGGGCCTCGGCGCGGTCACTGCTCTCAGGAGGGGGCGGGGCCTAGGGGAGAAGGGAAGGGGAGAGCGGAGCTGAGCGGGGCCCAGAGGTCAATGATACTCCCAGCAGGTCTTGCGCGCCGCAAAGCCCTGCGGAAGGGCCTTGCTGTTCCGTCGCATGCTGGGAAGTGTAGTTCCCACTGCGCGAGCCCGTGGCGTCTCAGCCACCCGGCTCGGCGGATACGCTTTCCTCGCGCCGGGTGGGAACGTAGAGCCTCGAGGAGAGGTCATGGGACATAGCCTTGGCTCTGACGCTAGCCATGCATTACTATGAATCATGACCCCTAGGTCCCACTTCTGGAGGATTCTTAGGTTTTTGATGGTACTGGGTATCAAACCCATGGGCGCTTTCCCGTCACTGAGCCACATTCCCAGTCTTTTTTGTTTTGTTTTGTTTTCTGAGCTAGGGTCTTACAAAATTGCCCAAGCAGGACTTGAACTTAACGAGTCTCCTACTTCAGCCTCTGAAAATGCTGGGATTACATGCGCCACCGCACCCAGCTAATTCTAGCTAATAGACCCTACACTGCAGGCTCTGCTGTCCTCGGACGTGAGCTCTACGACATGGCCTGTGCGGTGGGCCTCAGAATTGTTCGCTTTTTACTGTACACGTGGTGGTACATGCCTGAAATCCCAACACTCGGGAGGGTGAGGCTGGAGCATCTTCACGAGTTCATTACGTAGTGAGTTCAGGGCTAGCCTGAACTGCTTAGTGTGACCCTGTCTCAAAAAAATAACTCAGAACCATTCCTTCTTTTCCCTCTCTTCTACCCTTTCTCACCTACTAGTGCTCCTTGAGCGCTTAGATTGTGTTTGTGCACCAGATGCTGCTCCAAGTGACATCTGTATTGATTCATCTTAACAATCCAGAGAAAGGCATCATCCCTGTTTTAGGGGTTATTTTTATAGCCCCTGCATAGCACGCTAGCGGTGGCTCTTGGAATGGTGCAGGTCCAGCAACCAGGCAGTGGAAAGAAGGGAATGTGTTTAGGCAGCATTTTTAGAGCAAACATGTTCTCAAGAGTGTGCATCCCCTCCCCGTACTGTGCAGTGGAAACCAGGGCCTTTGCACTGAGCTGCATCTTCTCCTTTTTATTTTTTATTTGAGACAGGGTCTCACTAAGTCCCTAAATTGCCCGGACTGAGCAGGAACTTTTTTTTAACATCTCACTGTAAATGACTTTATTGACCAATTTCCTTCCCAAGTGGATGGGGTCAACCCAGAGTGATGAGGGTGAGATGGGGGAGCAGATGGGCAAACAAGTGGGGAGCAGAAGACGGGTACCGAGGGAACTAGGTGATCCTGAGCCAAGGATCTTGGAACTTTTGATCTTCCTGCCTCAGCCTCTAGGGTGCTAGAGGAGTGTACATTTATATTAGGAAGCCAAAGTACCTGGAGAGGTTACAGTCACTAACTCTCCTTAGGGTTACTATAAAATGTTTCTTTTAAGAACTTTCAAAAGTTTATATTGTAAGGGTGATGTAAAATCAATGCAGCTTTAGAAGATACAGATAATCAGTCTGGGCATGGGGTAATCCCAGCATGCAGGAGGCTGAAGCAGGAGGATCCAGAATTTCAGGCCAGTCTGAACTACATAGTGAATTTGAGGCCAGTCTGAACTACACAGATAGACCCTGTCTCAGAAAGAAAGAAAAGAGGAAGGGAATAAGGAAGGGGAAGGGTATGAGGGAGAGAAGGGAATGGGGAAATGAATATGATCAAAATATGTCATACGGCTGGGGATTTAGCTCAGTGGTTCCGGCATCTGCTTCACTAACACAAGGACCCGAGTTCGATCCCCGGTACCAAAAAATAAAAAAATTTTAAAAAATGTGTCATATGCATGTATGAAAATACCACCTCAATGCTAGGCATGCTGGTGGATGCCTTTAATCTCAGTCTGCAATCCAAGGCCAGTTTGGACTACATAGCAAGATCCTGTTTTTGTTTTTCCTTTTCTTTTTCAAGAGCAAAAACAAAAAACACCAAAAAAGCTGGGTGTGGTGCTCACTTGTAATCCCAGCCCTCTGGGAAATTTAGGCAGGAGGAGTTTAGGCATTGAATGCTCCGGACCAGTGTGGTTGATTAATTTGGGAAGATTCTGTCTCAAAAGGGGGTGGGTTGGATGTAGGTCAGTGAGAGAGCCAGGTTCAATCCCCAGTGCAGGGGAAAAAGAAGAACGGCCCTGATGAAACCCAAAACATAGACCCAACCAACCAGAGCCCTCAGATTCACCCACGCAGATTAACATGCCAAAGCACTTCAAAATCCAAGGACTAATAGGGTCAGAAAAAAAAATTTTTTTTTTTTTTGGTATGGCTGGGCCAGGAGTCCAGCTCAGCAGTGGGTGTAGCTTAGCGTGCTCCAGGACTGTCTTTAGCAGCCAGGTGGAAATCAAGGGAGATATACTCTAACTGGATGTTTATTCCCATCAGTGAGGCATCTTCTCCAGAGCCCGCAGCAGGTCAGGGGTGGGGAAGCACTGTGAGCTGTAAATTGTGTGCAGGCTCTGCTCAGGGACAAGTTCATTCTGTCTACCAAGCGAGACCTGTCAGACCTAAATCCTGACGGTGTTGTGGGGAACGCCCGGCTCACCCCATAGCCCTGTTCCCCTTCCTGGAAAAGCGTTACTCTCACACTCTGGCTGATCAGGATCTCTGTTGGCATCTACCCTGTCTCTGGTTTTTTGTTTTTTTTTGGTACCGGGGATTGAACTCGGGTCCTTGCGCTTGCAAGGCAGGCCGCCGAACCGCTGAGCTAAATCCCCAGCCCCTACCCTGTCTCTGTTTACAGCTGTCTCTGTGACTTATGACGCCACGGGCAAGTCAGGGCAGGTCCCTCAGACGACCACACACCTCAGAAGGGCAGAGGTCTTGCCTTTTTTTCTTCCTATCACAAGTCCGAATCCCACTGGGGCAATTCAGCAAGATCTGGTCTCCAAAATAAAACAAAGGCCTGGAGATGTAGCTCAGTGCCCCGGCCCTTAGTTCAGTCCCCAGTAAGGCAAAAGGAATCTCTGCTAAGCCCACACTCCACCCAGCTCTACCACTGAGCTACCTCCGGGGATCCTTCCTGCAAACAGGGGGTGTCCAGGACTGCCATGCAGCCTGCAGGCTGGAAAGTCAGGCTGGCGTGGTGGGAGGGAGCAGCGGAGTCCAGCTGGGCACCTTCCTGTTCTCACCCCCTGGAGAATCAGCCCCCCACTTCCTGGCCCTGTCTATCTCCCCTGCCTCCTCCTCTCTGATCCGCTGGCTGCCACACACAGCTGACTCCTGCCACTCTTGGGGTCTTGGCTTGGGCCTGTCCCTCTTCAAGCAACTCATTCTCCTGGCGCTTCCTGGGACGTTTCCTAACCCACCAGACCAGGACCCCCATCTCCCCCCCACTTCTCTTTTGCAGTACTGGGGGTTGAAACTGGGGCCTTTACACTGAGCTACATCCCCAGCCCTGTTTTATTTTGAAACCAGTGTCTCTCAAAATTGGTAAATTGCCCAGGCTATGCTTGAACCAGGATCCTCCTGCCTCATCCTCCCAAGTGCTGGGATTGCAGGCACGTGCCACCACTCCTGGCAAAAAGGAATTCCTTTCTCTTAAAGAAAGGGGTCAGAGGGCCGGGGACTTAGCTCAGTGGCTCTGGTGCCTCCCCCACAAGCACAAGGGCCCGAGTTCGATCCCTGGTACCAAAAAAATGAAAAAAAAAAGTAAAAATAAAAAGAAAGGGGTCAGAGACCCCTGTCTGTCCACGGCTCCCCTTGATGTATAAATCTTATTTTCTCTACGAAAAGAAGCATTTCTGTTCTGATTCAAAATCTGAGTTTCTCCTCTCATCTGACTGTGGGCAGCAAGTTGGGCTTATGGTTTGTGGTTAGGAGGCAGCTGCAGGGACTCAGTGTGACACACGCAGGAAACCAGAACAGAGGTTTTCCAGACTGCAAGAGCTACCTGGGTTCTAGATGAGAAGGGGGCCCCAGCCTCTGGTTCTGCCCTAGGATCATGTGGGAGGACTTTTATCAGGTTGCTTTGTTGTGGATCAAGTAATCCGTTTATGTGCTACACAGTCAAGTGAAGCTAAAACGGCCAGGGGGCCAGGGACTTAGCTCAGTGGTTCTGCCGCCTGCCTTGCAAACTCAAGGACACGAGTTTGATTAGTTTGATTCCCGGTACCAAAAACAAAACAAGCAAACAAAATAAAATGGCCTAAGATGAAAAAAAAGTCTCCTTTTGCTCTTCCAGGATGAGGTTCCAGGCCGCACAACCTCTTACCAAATGGGGCTGCCCAAGCCCAGGGAAACGAAACTGTTCACCTTTCTACCAAGAAGTCTGGGAAAGCACCAAAAGATTGTTGTGAAAGTGTTGAAGCCACAAGCACTGAATCAGAAAGCTAAAGATCCTGGAGCAGTGCCTGCTGTAATCTCAGCACTCAGGAGGCTGAGGCAGGAGGATCGCCCAAGCTCAAAACCAGCACAGACTACATAAGGAGATCTTGTCCCCAAAAGTAAAATAAAATAAAAAAGCTCAATAAAAAATGAACGTCCTTTGAGTAATGAAGATAGAAAGGCTTGTTCTATGTTAGGAAAAAAAAAACCCAACTCTCCCTTCCTCACCACTCTACCTTGTTTTCCTCCCCGAGAGTGGCATCATGGCTGGCCTTTTGGAATCTCCTGTAGGCTTTGTGATACTAAGAAATACAGGTACATATTTGTCTATGTACACTTTTTTTTTTTTTTTTTTGGTACCAGGGATCAAACTTGGGTCCTTGAGCTTGCGAGGCAGGTGGTGGAACCACTGAGCTAAATCCCCGGCTACACTTTTTTTTTTTTAAAGGCACTGTCCTGAAACTTATTAACTTGCTTTGCTCATTTATTTTTGAGACAAGGTCTTGCTATATAGCACAGGCTGGCCTTGAACTCACTGTGTAGCCCTGGCTGGCCTCAGACTCCCAGCCATCCTCCTGCCTCAGCCTCCTGAGTGCTGGTATTACAGGTGTGTGATACCACGCCCTGCTTTACATCTTGATTGTTTTTATACCATATATTTCGGAATGGTTCAATATCAGCAGATAAGTGTCTCCATCTGTCTTTCTCTTTTCTCTTGTAGGTAGTTTGGGGACTCTGTGTGTGTGCGCGTGCACACACACACACACACACACACACACACACTGAAGGCTGAACTTGGGGCTTCATGCCTGCTGTGCACATGTCCTGCTACTGATCTATACCTTTGGCTCAGGGGATCTCCTTTGAAAACACACATCCTCTGGTCTCTTTCTTGGACAATTTTTTTTTTTGGAAACAGAGTCTAAATCCAGGCTGGCCTCAAACTTACTATGTAGCCCAGGTTAGCCTTGAACTTGCAATCCTCCTGCCTCAGCCCTCAGAATGCTGGGATTGTAGGCGCGCGCCACTAGGCCCAATTTCCCACGGACACATTTTCACCCCAGTACTAGGAAGTGAGCCCAGGATCTTCACACTGAGCTGCACCCCCAGCCTTTTAATTTTTTTTGCTGGGGCGGGGGGACAGGCTCTCACTAAATTGCTCAGGCTAGGCTGGAACTTGGAGTCCTCCTGCCTCAGGCTCCGAGTGCTGGAATTGCATTTGTCCAGCTTTGATTCCAGAGATTTGGTGTGGGATCTTGCCTGTAATCTGTACACTCAGAAAGCCCTCTAGATTATAGTAAACAGTCAAGTTTGGGGCCCACTGAGCCACCTGGTGTTTAAGGCTTTCGAAGCCCAGTGGAGAGAGGCTGGCGAAAAGCAGCTAGGTTGGGCCTTAGGTGGCTTCGAGAGAAGCTTGGTCCTGCCTGCTGGCTGAACAGCTGCTCTGGGAGAGGAGTGTTTCTAGCAGAAACTCCAGCCTCCTGAACCATCTCCCAGGTCCCAGGACTTCAGCAGCCTCCTCCTGCCTACCTCACAGAGCCCTGACATTCCAGTCTCCCACCAAATGGACTCCAAAGCGGCCTCTTTTCTGAATCCTCCAGTACCCAAAGCTCTCCACTGCCTTCTGAAATCCCCTCTTTCAAATACCCTGCGCCCCAGGGCCCTCGGCAGGAAGTGGCCCTCCTCGACCCCTCCTTCTGTCAGCTGTGTAGCTCCCCAGGGATCTCTCTAAAGCCAAAGCTGACTTCCCACCTCCCTTTGTCAAAAGCCTCAGTTCCCTGAAGCTTGGAAAAGCAAATCTGGAATGCCCGGGTGCAGGAAATCGCACAGATCAAGATATTTTCAGTGTATCACTTACTCATATGACCTATGGTATTATTTATTTTTTCTGTATCCTCAGCCTTTTAAAAATGTTGTATAATTTGAGACAAGTTCTTTCTAAATTGCTGAATTGCCCAGGCTGGGCTTGAACTTGCCATCTTCCTGTCTCAGCTCCTCCCCAAGTGCTGGGATTATAGGCATGCACCACTTCACCTGGTTTATTTTTTGCTTTTTTAAAAATGTCACTAGAGAGGCTGGGGATTTAGCTTAGTAGTGCCGCCAACTGCCTTGCCTCACAAGCTCAAGGTCTCGAGTTCGATCCACGGTACCAAAAAAAAGTTACTAGATAAAAAGAACCCACCCCTCTGGCTCTGAGCTACCCTAGTTTGAAAAGCAAGGACCCACGGACTGAGCCCCAACAACAGCTCTTACCCAGCGAGGATGCTTCCTTGGGGCCTTGCCGCGTTTCTGGCTGGGCTCCCGGACCCCAAAGCCACCCCTGGCAGTAGCGCTCTCGGCGTCAGGGTCCCCCTGGCCTGCATCCTCCTCGGCTGTAGGTAAGACAGCACCGAGGCACATCTGGAAACTCCTCCTGGTTGGTCCAATACCCCATTATTTTTATTTATCTAGGTTTTTTAAGAACAAATTTTATTTTGCTCTATATCTCTTCTTTGAGGGATTTGCTGTTTTTTGTTTTGTTTTGGCAGTACCTTTGCGCTTTCGAGGGAGGCAAGCACGGCACCCCTGAGCCAAATCCTCCGACCTTATCTAGTTTTTTTTGAGACAAGATCTTTCTGTGAAGTCCAGACCAGGCTGGACTCAGACTTCCAGAAATCCTCCTGCCTCATCGTCCCAGGTGCCAGACCGAGCCCAGTGAATTGTCACACATCGCTCGGGGTAGAGCTCGCTGCAGGGTTTGGCCTCTTAGCCCATCAGTTCAGCAGGGTGGTTCCGGAGGGTGAGGGGGGAGACAGGAGTGGGGTGAGCAGGGTGACCTCTTCCCTGAGAGGGCTGGTGTGTGGAGTGACTCCTGGGAGGGGATGGCCACTGGTGGCTCCACTCCGGGAGGGGCCGGGCAGGACCTGTCACCAGCTCTGGCTGAGTGGAGCGAATGAGAGTGGAGACCAAGGCTGTGCCGTGCAGAGAGGATCAGGAGCCTAGGTCTGGGGCGCCAGCGCTGAGCACTGCCGGCCCCAGGAGAGGAGGGGCCCCCAAAAGCTGGGATGGCGAAGAAAGCAGAGGGGCAGGGGCGGGAGGACACAAGTCACCAGGGAAATCATGGTGGGAGGCAGGAAACAGCTACAGGAAGGAGCAGCAGGCACTCGGGAGGCTGAGGCAGAGAGATCACCGCGAGGGAGTTCGAGGCCAGCCTTCGCCACATACGGCGACCAGACCAGACCAGCAAAGGGCCTGGGGATGTAAATCAGCGCACAGGCCCGGGTTCCATCCCCAGCACAGCACAAAGGAGCGATGTGCTTATCCTGGCTTTCAGGGCACAGCTCTGCCGGCTGTGGCGGGAGTCGCCCGAGGGGGCCGGGCGGGGCGGGTGGGGCGCACAGTCCCGGGCCCCCTGGACCAGGTCTGTGGAGGGAACGAGGTCCCAGCATTTGAATGTTATCACCGGGCGTGGGTTTACAAAGGCCTCCTAGAGCTGGGCGCGGTGGTGCACGCCTGTTACCCCAGCCGCTCCCGGAGGAAGCTGAGGCTGGACCATTGCAAATTCCAGGCTGATGTGGGCGATTCGCGGAGATCATGTGTTAAAATAAAACATAACAAGGGCTGGGGTGTAGCTCAGCAGAGCGCCCCCCGGTTTCACTGTTTTTTGAGACAGGGTCTCGCTACGTAGTTAAGGCTGACCTTGAACCCACTATGTAGCTCGGGCTGGCTTTAAACTCTGTGATCCTCCTGCCTCAGCCTCCCGCTTGATGGGATTACTGACGTTCGCCACCATGCCTGGGGCGGGCCCCCAATCTTTTTGAGGTGAAGGATGGTTTGGGGATGATTCAAAGGCGGGCACCCTAGGTCCCTGGCACGCGCAGTCCACAGTGGGGTCGGCGCTGCTCTGGATCACTGGCCGCTACTCTGACCCCCGGGGAGCTCAGGAGGAAATGGGAGCCGCGGGACGGGGCTCTGGAACCCGGAAGCTCGGCTCGCCGCCGGCCGCTCACCTCCTGCTGTCCCAGGGTCGGCGATGCTGCCGGGAGGACCTAACCGGCCACCAGGGGACGCGCTCCTCCGGGGGAACATTCTCTGGGAAAACGTAGAAAGACGGCTGTGATTGGGGGATTGGGCTGAAAGCTAAAAATGCTCCCCAGTTTCTGGGGACCTTGTCCAGAGCCCATGCACATGGTATGTCTGCTATTTGTTCTGCCTCTCTCTCTCTCTCTCTCTCTCTCCCTCTCTCTCTCTCTCAGATTGAACTCAGGGTCTTAGTTCTGAGCTGCACCTTGGCCCTTTTTACTTTTTCTTTTGACACAGGGTCTCTCTATGTTGCCCAGGCTGTGCTCAAAATCGGCAACCTTCCTGCCTCAGCTTCCCAGAGTGCTGAATTACAGACTGGCGCCTTGGCTGTTGGTCTCTGTTTTACCCCTCCAGGAGGTGCGAGAAATGGCTCCAGGTCAATTTGCCTGGGGCCACTTTAGAGAGAGAACAAAGCTGTGCTATACTCGCTTTTAAGAAGCTGGAATGGCATGACTGGGAGGAACATGTTCCCATCCCACCCCATACTAATGCAGCAATCTGGAAGGTGTGACAGGCACTGTGTGCCCTGCTGCAAGTGACTGTCCAGTGCGGGCTTCCTGGGGGAGCTGGCTCCCGGCCGGTAGATGTGATGTGGTCTGATGGTGGGCAGTAGGGAGCCACAGCAGGATCTGGAATAGGGACAGCACTTCCTCACAAAGGGCTGAGTTTTCATGTGAGTTTCTGGGGTCTCTCCTGGAAATTGGGGGGTCTGGGCAGTGGCTGAGCCCTCCTCACAACTCATAGTCAGTCTGTAATTCCTCCCACTCCATGTACTGGGGAGCAGAAACTGCAGAGTGGAAAGCAGCTGGAGTTGGGCAGGCCGGGCCTGGGGTGGCTTTCTCAGCTCTCGCTCCTGGGGCTCCCTCCTGCCAGATGGGGCAAAGCCTCTTGTGCCATTCCAGAGCTGTCGACAAAGGGCCATGTTAGGCAAGGTGTGGCTCGGGAGGGTGTCCGAGGCTGAGGGTGGGATGGGTCTCCACTTCCAAGACTCTGGGCCTTGTAGCCTTGGGGGAAGCCTGCCTGTGCAAGCGGGCGCTGGGGCAAGGCCAGCTCCAGGCTTTGAATCTGAGGTCTACATTCCAGGGGCTTCAGCCTTAGTGGAGGGGCAGATGGAGGAAGGGAGGGCTCAGTCAAGGGAAGGGCTGCTTTTCTGCAGCAGTCCTCAGAGGCTTTAATAAGCTACATCCTGTGGGGCACGACTGTAGTCCCACCTCTCAGGAGGCTGAGGCAGGAGGATCACAAGTTCAAGCCTGACCAGAGCAGCTTAGCAAGACTGTCTCAGAATGAATTTTTATTTTTTTAAAGAATCCCAAACCTTTTTTTAAAAAAGAATTTCAAATCTGTATTTTATTTATTTTTTATTTTTTTGGTTTTTTGAGACAGGGTCTCACTATGTAGTTGAGACTGACCTGGAACTCACTATGTAGCCCAGGTTGGTCTCGAACTCACAGCGATCCTCCCGCCTCAGCCTCCCGAGTTCTGGGATTACAGGCATGCACCACCACGCCTGGCTTCAAATTAGTATTTTAGTAAAATTCCTTCATTACAAGTTAAAAGTCTGAAGAAGCTCCCCCACACACACGCACACCAAAACATTTATAAATACAGACTGCAGAGAAAATTCTTCATTTAAAATGATAATTTAGGCCGGGGATTTAGCTCGGCGGCTCGGTGGCCTGCCTTGCAAGTGCAAGGACCCGAGTTCAAGCCCCGGTACCAAAATAAATAAATAAATAAATGAAACGATAATTTAAAAATAGGTTAAAAAAAACAGATACCCATGGGCATTAGCCCGTTCTCCATCAGGTAGCACTGTCATCAGGAGCCACACTTCTGGGGCCAGTGCGGCTGCCTCTCTGTCCCAAATGTACAGGTAAATTTCACTTCACCTGGGACTGAGCTTTTCTTTCCGGCTGATGTTTGGACCCCTGGCCATTACTGACTTCTATTTTCTCGAATACGTTAACGCAGACGAGCTTTGAATACAGTACGCTATTGGTAAGGAGCCTGACATCTGAATTTCCCCGATCATACGTTTGCACTTTCAGTGAGAATACCCCAGGCGTGTACTTCAGTTTTGATTCCACAATGAGAGGATAAAAATACTCAAGGTAATGCATCGCCTTCCTGTTTGACACAGTGAGTTCCTAGGCACGGTTCAGAGGGCCGGGGCTCCCGGAGAGTCCCAAGAACTCGCCATTTAACGCTCACCCGCAGCTGGTGTGCACTACAGGTTATGACCACATCTGCTAAACCATGAAAGGACACAAAAACCAAGAGGCGCACGACGGACACACAGTGACCTTTATCACTCAGGTCTCCATCCAGGGTGCTGCAGGAAACAGGAAGTGAGGGAAACAGGAAGTCAATGAAAATTTTTAAAAGGGTTGAGGATGTAGCTCCGTATGGGTTCAGTTGCCCGTACTAAAAAAACCCCCAAAACCCCCAAAGTTGTGTAGTGTAAGGCCCCAAGAAATAGCATGGGGATTTGCACACTTCCATGATCCAGGACCCTTCTTCCTCTTTTTTTCTTTTTTTTTTTTAGAAAGTGTCAGCCTTTGTACCCCAGGCTGGCCCCGAACTTGCAACCCTCCTGCCTCAGTCTCCGAGTGCACCACCACGCTCTGGTGCTTGTATTTAACCGTACGGTGTACAGGGGATCAGTACCATCAGACTCCTGCCTCCCACCCACTGAGGATCAGCCACGTGTCCTGGGGCCAGAAGAAAAGCCTGGCAGAGCTGGGCCTCCCGGGAACTGTCCCAGCCCGGATGTGTCGCTGGGTGAGCGGCCCGGACAGCCCTCGAGCAGCACTGGCTGCAGCCCCCAACCCCGTCCTCAGCTGCCCGGCAGGGTCTGCAGAAGGCCAGGCCCTGGGCGTGGAGACACCGTCCTGGCCCTCACCTCACACCTCCTGGACCTGGACGGGACAGCTGTCCCCACCCTCCTCCGTGTCACACATTCACACACGCACACGAGAGAAAGTAAGACAAGCACTGAGGCTTAGCAGCTGCTTTCACCTTTATTTCTTTTTTTTCTTCCTGGTACCGGGGATTGAACTCAGGACCTTGCACTTGTGAGGCAGGCACAGTGCCCCTGAGCTACATCCCTGGCCCTCACACTCTATTTGGATAGTTACTGGGAAACTGGGGCCTAGGCTGGAACTTCTGCAAAGCATTCCCGATTTTCTGTAGCGTTTTGCGCAGCTTCCGTCCTGTTTTTCGCAAGAATTTACGCAGCCCCACCATTCGCCTGACGCGCTGGGCCTGGGAGGTAGAAAGCGCTGTGGGGCTGCACCGGGCCCAGGCCAGGACCCCACCCAACCACAGGAGGCCTGGGACCCCGGACCCTCTGGGGTGACCCTGGGAACTCGGGGCTGATCCCCCCACCCTGCGATCTGTGCTCCCCGTCCTTGGTCCCCCGCTCACCCTGTCACAGCTGACACCAGAGGCGCTGCTGGCCGGGCCCAGGGTGACCGTCCCCGTGCATCGCTTCACCACCTGGGGAGAGGAGCCCCAGCTCAGCCCTACCCCAGGGCCCCATGCCCAGCGCCACAGGCGGTGCCCCCAGCCTCACCCCGTTCTCCTTGAAGTCACACTGCTCCAGCGGCAGCTGGGTCGCCTTGGGACACACTGTCTCCTTCACAGTGAAGCTCACGGGCTTTGGGGTACCTGGGTCCTCATCCTGGTCAGGGGAGAAAGTGGGGCGGCTCGGCTCAGGCCCCCTGACTCCACCTGTAGGGTCTCACTAGGTAGCCCAGACCGGTCTTGACCTTGAAACCTCCTGCCTCAGCCTCCTGAGTTCTAGGAACACAGGTGTGCCCCACACACCAGGCTCCTATTTGGGCACGGCTGTGATCCCAGGCTTCGGGAGGCTGAGGAGGGAAGACTGCAAGTTTCAGCCCAGCCTGGGCAAACTGGTGACTTAGTGAGAGCCTGTCTTACAGTAAACACAAAGCAAGGCCTGGGGTGCAGCTCAGCAAGGCCCGGGTTCAGAGCTCACCCCCGAGGGTGTGGAGTCCAGGCTGAGGAGGCGGAAGAGGCTGGGGTCCAAGGAGCGCTTGTTGAAGTCAGCCACGGCCTGGCGCACAGCCTCCTGGTAGCCAAGGGCCTGGGTGGCGGCGGGGGACGGTAAGGAGCCCAGCAGCTGCAGCAGCAGCAGCAGCAGCAGCAGCGGCAGTGGCAGCGGCAGCGAGAGTCGCCCCGAGGAGGCACCGTCCTTCCGGGCACCCATGGTCCCTGCTGCATCCCTGCCTCGTGCCTCCTTTATTCCCACCCAGCCCTGTCCTCAGCCCTGATTGCCTCACTCCAGGCGGTGGCATAGAAGGAAGAGCCGATTTCGCCATCTCCCAGGGGCCTGGCCTCCTGGGAACCTGCAGGGGACGGGTGCAGCAGGGTTGCTCAAGAGGTTGTGTCTCCCAGCAGAGAGGAGTTGGGGCCTGTCCTGCCTCAGCCCCCCCCAGGGCCGTCTGCCCCCTCTCCCGTGTCCCCTGCCACTGCCTTCCTCAGTCTAAATATGACCCTGGGAGGGTATGGTGACTCGTGCCTGTGATCCCAGCACTCAGGAGGCTGAGGCAGGAAGGTTTCTGGGCATTCAAGGCCAAACTCTGTGTCTATCAATCAATCTATCCCCAGTCCCAGTCGTCCATAAGTGGCCCTGGCTCTGAGCCTGAGGAAAGATGTCTATGCTGGCTGAGCTGCTATTTGGCCCGACCCATGGGCCAGCTGACCCCCCAACCTCCTGAGACTGCCCCACTCCAGCCTCGCTCACGCTGGTCCCTGGCTCCCCCGCCTGGCCCTTCTTGTTTTTCTCCAGTGGTGCTGGGGTTTGAACCCCAGGCCTTCACACAGAGCTGCATCCCCCGCCCCTTGTGGTTTCCTAAGTCACTAAGTTTTCCAGACTGAACTTCCCACCTCAGCCTCCCGAGTGCTGGGCTACAGGCTACAGGCCCAGCTAGCTGTCTTCTTAAAACGACCCTGACATTCCATCTTCCTCCAGGAAGAATGGTCAACATCAAGAAATGGACGAATAACAGACGCTGGCGCGGCTGTGGGAGGAAAGGAGCCCTTCTCACCCCGGTGGGAATGTAGGCTCGCACAGCCACTACGGCAACAGCACGGAGAGTTCTCACAACACTCGAACTGGAAATTCCATTTGACCTGGCTATTTCCTTCCAGGCATCTTCCTGAGAGTTCCACGGATACGTGCATACTCATGTTATAACTCAGAGTAGCTAAATCTTGGAGGAGGCCTACATGTCCATCAACGGATGAATGGGTGCCAAAGACGTGGTATTGATGGACGATGGAGTACTACCCTGCCGTGAAGAAGATTAAGCTTGAGTCACTTGTAGGGAAAAGGACGAAGCTTACACAGCTTGAGACTATCAGGTTAAGGGCAAAGAACCAGACACACCGGCCTAAATACTGCACGGTTTCTCCTACATGAGAGCCGTGCACCAACTCCCCAGAGCCCTGAATGTAGGTCATTAGGTACTGTAGACACAGACTAGTAACAACAATTAAGAGGAAAGGGCCGGGTGGTTCGACCGCCTGCCTAGCAAGCACAGGGTCCCGAATTCGATCCCTGGTATGGAAAAAAAAAAAAAGAGGAAAGATACACAGCCGTAGTCATAGACACAGGCTCCTGCTCCTCCCGCCAGCCTGGTCCCTGCCTCCACCTGTGAGGGTGCCCGGCCCTGCCCGCCTTCGCTCCCAACAACAACGAAAGGAATGCAGGGTCTCTCCGTTCGCCGGGGCTTCCGGTCCCAGCTTTGCTCTGAGCAGCCTGGGGCAGCCCTTGGCCTCTGCCGAGGCTGAGGGGCTGGGAAGGGGCACCTTGGTCAGCTGTGGCTTGGATGGAGCCACTGATTGCACACTTGGGCCTGGGTGGAAGGGGAAGCGGGTTTCACAGCACAGGTGTTGCCCAGGGCTCTTGGTCCATCAGGACTTGCACATCACGCAGCGAGCCAGTTATTATCGGCTTTTCTTTTTCACTGCTGGGAATTGAACCCAAGCCCTTTGTACTGAGCTATGGCCGCAGCCCTTTTTTAATCTTTGTTTTGAGACAAAGCCTTGCTAAATTGCCCAGGCTGGCCTGGAATTTTGGATCCTCCTGCCTCAGCCTCCTGAGTAGCTGAGATTATGGTTCTGTACCACCACACTTGACATATCTTTTTTTTTTTTTTTTTTTTTTTTTTTT